CTACCTAAATAAATATATTAAGTTTTAAAAATAAAATTTTTCATTTTCTTTATTATTTATTAATGACAACTTGCATTTATAACCATTCCATATTAAAAATTACCTATAATACCTTTACATAGATTTATTTTAATAATCATTATTATTTTATTTTAGCTTAAAATTTACATGGTTCAGCCAGGCTGTAGGCTATTCTCACTGTCCCACCTGGCCTGTCCGCCTCTGCTTATAGCTATAGGAAGTATAAAAAATTGCTGTCTTCAATTTTTTGTTTTAACTTGTTTTAAACATTATACTTTTATTATTTTAATAGTGGGTACTTTCTATTGTTTTAAATAGATAAACCAAAATTTTTCATCAGCTACCTTTACTAAATAATTTCTTACTATAAAATACTAATAAGAAAGTTACTATTCAAATACATTTTTTTAAAAATGCCGCAAACGCGTTTTGTATAATAATATGATAGTCTACAACTATTATCAACAATGATAAACGGCATAATGACGTCATGGACAGTGAGACATTTTTCCTCCTATGATCCATTCGTCCTTTTTTAGGGTATAAGCGACACTGATGAAAATTGTTATCACCAAGCGACAAACACGTGGTGTTTGGGCCCCTCTATTATCGCTTATCACCTTTTATAATATTGATATTAATATTATGGGATTTATCAAAATAAGTTGCAGTATAATATTTTTGATTTACTACACTTAATTTATTCATTTTTCGTGGTTTTTTATGGTTCTACACTAAAAAATGAAACAACATCAGAAGGTAAACATAATATTTTATACTAATCATTAGTATTATTGAAGTTTAATTTTTTTATGCCTGCACATTTCACATAGATTGTTATGTTTGTGACACATCAATTGTACACTGTAGTCGGTGGCTATTTATTAAAGTATACACTGTAACTATATTATGGCATTGAATACAACATTTAATGCTCCCAACCAAACTTTAATATAAAACACAACTAGAAACTTATTTTCTGCAATTATTGTAACAATATTATTTCCAATATAAAATATACCTACAGTATAGGTACCAGCCAGTGTTGTAAATATATTTACTCTAATAGGTACTATTATGTATTTGAAGAAGTGTTTTAAATAATTTATTGAAAAGTACTTATATTAAAATGCTTGTAAATAATATTTGTTTAAGTATTTAGATTTATTATCAAATAATTTATAATTTATACCTAAGTATAATGATTTTCATAAATAATTTTTTAATTCTTTTACATAGCTTTAAATAAATACAGACAAGAGTGATTTTTATAAATGTATTACATCAAATTAATTTGCATTAAATGTTAAAACAACTTATTGATATAGGTAATATTTTCAGTGTCAAATCGCTTTAGAATCTAGGAATTTTCTTAATTGTATTTGCTCAAACTACATATTATTGTTATGATTAAAAAAAAGAAAAGGTATTTTAATTCAATATTTTACAACATTTTATCATCAGTCATATGTTTTGCTTTTCTTTTATCATAATAAAAAGCAAATTATTCTGAAAATTAAAAATGTTTGTAAATAATAACTATGTTAATAATTGCTGTAATCCAAATTTAAAATGATCTCTTAAAATTTGGATTTATCATTATTATTTATTTTATTTATTTATTTATTAATTTATTCAATTATTCATATATATGTATACAAAGCATTTACATACATTTTTTATTGATACCTACTCTCTATAAGCAAAAGCTTGTGTTGAGAGTAGGGAGTTAAAGTAACTAAAATAAAACATAATTTATTGTTCAATTAACAATTATATAATAACTAATATTCCTATATCCACTGAATATAAAATACAAATTAGTTAATTAAGATAGTTAATAATGCTTTTAACAATAAAAATATAATTAGTCTTATAACATAATATAATAGACAATAGTGATACACAATACAAATAATAACATAATAATATAAACAGTAACAAAAGTAATCAAACATAATATAAAAGATAAAATGTAAATAATAATGAAAACGTTAATTAAAATATTGCATAAATAGAGCACAGAGCTTTAGTTTAAAGTATGATGTATTCTCTATTAATTTAAAGTCCAACGGAAGCTGGTTAAATAATCGTATGCCTCTAGTTATATAATAATTCTGCCTTAGTGTTGTATTAGGTTTATTAATAAGCAAATTACCATTTTCTACGCCCCTAGTGTTGTAAAAATAATAAAATAATAAAATGTAAATACGTTTTGAAATCTTTTTTGTTAATGAAAGTTTTTATTATTGCAGCTTTATTATATAGTTCTTTTAACGTTTTTTTTTTTAGTTTTTTTTAAAAAGTTCAGCAGTGTTACCATATTGATCAATAAAATCATTTTTCATCATTATTCTAACAAGTATTATATAACTATATTTAATAACCATTAAATATTCTGAACCCCATACTATTATACCATATAATAATATCGATTGAACCAACGCAAAGTATATCATTTTTAAACACGGTAAATCAAAGATATTTCCATTTTAAATGCTCGTCAAAAACCACACCAAGATATCTTGCTGAACTAACTCCCGTTATAAGACTACAGTTCTTATTACATAATATATCTATGGAATTTTTTTTATAACAATCATTACAATAAGATTTTATAATTATTTGTTCTGGCCTTCTGGGGTGTTAATATTGGACAATGCAAATGGAATAAATGTAGATTTATTTTTATTCAATGCTAAACTATTTTTAGTATACCAATCATTTACTATTGAAAATACAGAATTCGCTTTTTTTTCTACCAAATTCCAATTATCGCCTTTGAAAAATAATACCGTATCATCAGCAAAAGCCAATATGTCACCATCTATGTCTAACTTAAACAAGTCATTTATGTAAATAGAAAAAAGTAATAGACCTAATACTGTTCCTTGCGGAACACCATACTTAACAATGGTCAAGTCACTGATCGTACCATTCATTTTAACAGATTGGGGTCTGTTAGTAAGATATGATTTAAACCAGTACCAAAATGAATTAAAGCCTATTATTGATTTTAATTTAGTTAAAAGAAGATCGTGATTTACTGAGTCAAAAGCTTTAGTTATATCTAGGAATATTGCTAAAAATTTTTTATATTTGTCTAAAGCATTATATATTAAATTAGTAAAGTAAGATATTGCCTCCTGGCAACCCACAGTTTCTCTAAAACCAAATTGTTTATCACTAAGGGCACTTTTATATCTAATGAATCTCTGAAGTTGGAGCTTAGCACATTTTTCCAAAATTTTAGCTATTGCAGATATTAAGTAAATGGGTCTATAATTAGATATTTCTTTTGCGTCTCCTGCTTTAAAAATAGGACTTATTATTGATTTTTTATATACTTGAGGAAATATGCCTTTTGAAAAACTTAAATTAATTAGATAAGTAAGTGGTTTTACGATATAATTGGATATCTGTAGTAATATATTAGAAGAAATAGAATCAAAACCTGGCGAAGTACCTTTTTTTAGTGATTTAATCATTTGGAGTATTTCGTTATCGTTAAAACATATCAATTTTAACTCAGATCTTATTCTATTTTTATTATCATTTATAGGAATATTAGCAGCATTATTCATTTTATTAGCATTTTGTATTTGAGTTACAATTTTTTCTCCCATACCAGTAAAATAGTCATTAAATATATTTGCACACTTTAGTGAATCATTATTAGCATTAATTTATTTATTTTCAAAGGTTATTTGAGAAATTGGTTTAATATTTTTAGCATTTGTATTAATTATTTCACTGATTACGTTCCAAAGCTGTTTGGTGTTATTACGATTGTTATACGAAGTAATATTCGTTATTTTTTCCTATAAAACTCATTTTTAACATATCTTATTAGTAAACAAAGTTTGTTTTTATATTTTTTTTAGAATTGTAAGTTATTAGGTTTTTTTAATAACATTTTACCTAGTTTATCTCTTCTCCTGATTGATGTTATTAATCCAATCGCTACCCAAGGCTTTAATTTACGTTTACTTGATAAAGTATTATTAACTATTATTTTATTAGAGTTAACTATAAGATTATTTTCCTCAAAAATAATTTCCTATTTTTCTTTAGCCAAGAGTGAACGTAAAAGTTTAATGTCTATATTTGTTTTTCATTCGGAATTTCAGATTTAATCGTTTTGCAATTTTCTTCTAATATCAAAGTAATATAGTGATCTGTAATACATGATTCCAATATGATGGGCCTAATATTACTGGTACAACTATTTTTTATAAATATATGATCAATCGTTGTGGTGCTGTTATTTTTAACCCTAGTATATTCATTTATACAACTCATAAACCCCATTTGGGCCATAAGATTTAAATAATCAACTTTAAGTTCATCATTACTCTCTGGCGATATATTAATTATATATATATATATATATTAATATTCATGTCTCCTAAAATTAATACTCTATCAGCTGTAATTTTGGAAACTATTTTGCTTAATTTAGTGTTAAGATCAATAAAATTATTTCTATGTGCTCTATATAGAGCAATCTCTTTACGGGCTGTTTCATTACTACCTAAACTTATTGATAAGCAATTACAATAATCAATCATAATTTCATAAACATTATTTATTTTGTGCTTTTTGTTAAAATAAACTATAACACCACTATTTTGATTAAAATTATTTTCTTGAGTTTAATACGCATTAAAACCAGTCAATTCAAAATTAATTATGCAATTCTTAAGCCAGCATTCAGTAAGGATTATACAGTCAAGAAATTGTAATTTTGTATTTAACATAATTAGTAATTGGGAAAAATGTTTTGTAATAGATCTAATATTTAATTGAAAAGTAAGAAAACTATTTTTATTAACAATATTAAAGTCTAATTCATTAAAGTCTGATATAATATCAGTTTTCAAATTATATAAACTATCTAGTTCATCAAAGTTGACATTCATTTATTATTATTTAATATTTACATACTATGAAAATGAATATGAAAATGATTGACATACCTATAATAGTTTATTTAGATCGTTTTCGTCGTGGATTCTGAAAACTCTGGCGTTGTCATCTTTACGTACTAGAATATTCGTTCCGCTTACCCAGACATATTTGTAATTTTTTTCTTTTGCTAATGACTTTACACTTCCCAACAAAAGCCTTCTTGATTTTGTCAAGTGACTATTAACGTATACTTTTGAATCCGGCAAGCTGTTTTGATATTGATTAGCAGTTAATTTGTTTTTCTTTGCTTCCGCAATGAACCTGTCTTTATAATTCGAGTTAGATAGCCAAGCTATTATTTTCATATCTGTTTTATGGATCGTATAAATTCGGTATGCTTTCACTATATTGCAATCTAAGTTTAGTTTATTAACCATTCCTTGAATTAAGGTTTTACAATCTTCATTTTGCGATAGCGGTACACCAATTATTTCTACCGAGTTCTCTAATGACTTTTATTCAATATCGTCAATTTATTTTTTAACTTTTGAACTTCAGTTGCAAGTTTTTGATTTGCTTCATTTAATTTAATATTTTGAAATTTTAGTTCATTCATCTCTTTTAGTATTTGTCCAACTGTAACGTTAAATTCGTCAAACATGTTACTCATATATTGAACTGATTCCGTTAACTGTTTAATATTATAATATTTTTCATTAGTCGTTTGCGTTATCTTCTTACTTGCCCAATCGACCTTACAGTCAGAGCAAACCCATTTGCCCTTCGTGTTATTTGACATTTTACCGTAACCCTGTTCATTTATACCTTCACAGTAATAATGTGAAGTCTTTTTGCAGAGTGAGCATGTTATTATTTCCTGACTTAATACTGGACCTTGGCATTTTCAACAGCTCATATTGATTTAGTTTATTATTATTTACTAATGTAAACGTTACTGATAAAAATTAATAGACTTAATAATCGTAGAGCACAACCTCACTCGATGAGTGCAGCTGATAAAACTGATTATACCCTAATACATTTATTATAATATACATTTTTATGTTTTCTTGCTCCAAAAAAATACTCAAATGAATACCTATTTAACTTTTAATAGGTTAACATGGCAAGTAGCTCTAGGAGTAATAGGATGGTCTTAGCAACTGTAGCTGCAAATAATATTAAAGATATCAAGATAGATCAAGGTGTTCATTTTAAAGTTGTTTCTGATGACAATTATGATAGTCATAATATTATTATTACTGAAATTAATAATGAAGCAAAATCATAGTATAGAAAATACAAAGAATATTGTTACAACAGAAGTTTTAGAAATTCTAACATCATTAACATCATCCACAAGTTGTAGCCGTGATACAAAAGATTGGCTACTATTAGGACATAAGATAGAATCTTTTTTGGGTAGTAAATTTCCTAGTTGTTCAATAAACTTATTTGGAGCTGACGATTTACAACATACAGACATGGAAGAAGAAACACAACATTTAAATCAAACTACAAATGTTGATGCACCAATTGAAAATTTACAACATGACACAGATATGGAAGAAGAACCACAGCATTTAAATCAAACTATAAATGTTGATGCACCAATTGAAAACATAGTCGATGAAACAACTCAAGTTGGGAAAGATGGGTTAAGACCTCCCAAGAAAACGAACATTCGAATGATGAAAAAATATAATAAAGTTAATGGAAAAAATAACAAACTAAAACCGAATCCTTGTATCAATAAGAAGTGTCAAAATAAATGCGCAGCTAAATTTACAGAAAACGAGAGACAAAATATTTTCAATGAATATTGGGCATTAATTGATTCGAGACAAAAAGATTTTTTGTTAAAATGTGTTAGAGAAGTTGGCGTTAAAAGACAAAGGGCTCAACATGAAAGCCGAAGAAAGAAGAGAATACTTTTTACCAAATGGATCAGATTCAATACAAGTATGTCGTCAGTTTATTTTAAGTACATTAGATATTAGTAGAAAACGTTTGCAGTATACAATTGAAAATGCTTCACCGGTTGGAACGGCAATAAAGATGGGAGAGGTAAAGGGTGACCAAAAAATAAAATTTCAGATAAAATTTTATCAGATTTGGACGATTTCATACAAAAATTACCAGCCATGAAATCACATTACTGTAGAGCATTAACTACCAAAAAGTACTTGCCTTGTGAATTTGAAAATATCAAAAGACTGTATTTGGTTTATAAATCGTATTGCACTCAAAATGATTTAAATTTTGTAAGTCTTCATAAATTTCGAAATATTGTTAATACTAAGTATAATATTGGCTTTCATAATACTCCTCAAGGACAAAACATGAACCTATATTATAGTCGCAAATACAGTGTATTTAATTGCACTGTGTATGAATTGGGAAATCAAAATTCGTATGCGTACCTCTGAGGTGAACCGACTGGTCAACGAGGAGCAAATTAAATAGTTACCTACATGTATTTTCAAGTATTTGTGTGATTTTTATAAGAGAAATACTTATAGTTCATTGGAGAATTTAATGAGGACACGTTTGAAGAAACTTTGCTGTGTATGCTATCAATAAAAGGTACATCATATTTATATTATTTTATTTCATTACAACTTAATTAATATTTTGATATTAGATAGAAATATTTAATATACTATAAAAGTATATTAGTACTCCCTTCCCCTATATTATTTATTTATGTTAATTTATTATTGAAACAAATTTGGAGGTCCGTTACAAAATAGATTTGTTAAATAATCGTTAGAAGTTTGATTATAAATTAAAATATTAAGTCTCGTTGCTTATATTTTCTAAAATGTACATATCTTAGATGGTATAAGTCAGTTATGATTTTAACATGAGTTGGTTGTTGGTACCTTTCAGGGGGTATTTTTAAATTGTCTCTCTTTTTTATAAGTATCATAAAATCCAAAAAACTAAAACCAAAAAAAAAAAAAAAAAATTGGAATAACTCAAACAATTGTTGAGAGATTATTAAAACGTAATACTCCCAATTTCAATTAATTAATCCTAATTTTCCCAACACACAATGTAATCCAAAATTATGGTGACATAAAAGTTATTTAATAATTTGATGATTAAGTTATTTAATAATTTGACTTTTTCAATGTTTAGAAAAAATTCAAGACAATGTGTCTGAAAACATCCATCGTGCACAGAAAGCTTACAAAAAATATCGTAAGCCAAGAGACACACTCTGACGGATAGTGTTTTTAAAAGTATTATACCGGGTTAATAAACGAATATGACAAATTTTTGATGGAGTACTTGAAGTTAGGGCACATGGAAAAATTTTGACAATTCAATGAAACCCAATCCAACGGATATTACATACCTCACCATGCAGTCTTTAAAAGCACCAGTACAACCACGAAATTGCGAGTAGTATTTGATGCATCTACTATAGGTTCAACAGGAAAGTCTTTGAATGACTTGCTCATGGAAGGTCCAGTTGTCCAACCTACTTTGTATTCCACACTGTTGCGTTTTCGAATCCATCAAGTAGCCCTCGCAGCAGATATAGAGAAGATGTATCGACAAATATTGGTTCACAATGACGATTGTCAGCTACAAAAATTGTTTATCGGTCAAAGACTACTGATGAGCTTCAAGAGTTCATATTGAAAACAGTAACGTATGGTACAAAGACTGCCGCGTACTTAGCCACTAGGTGCCTGGTACAGTTGGGGAACACATGCGATGATCCAGACCTAGCAAGAATCATCCAAAGGGACTTATATGTAGATGATTTATTGACAGGAACAGACACTGATGAACAATGTCATGAGATGTTCCAAAAACTCACTAGTGTGCTCAACAGTACCCAACTACCATTGAGAAAGTGGTGCTCAAATTCGTCTACAGTCTTGTCCTTGTTACCGTCCACCACTGATGATAACTACATCATAACATTGTCAGAATCCGATTCAGTGAGTGCGTTGGGTTTGAAATGACAACCAAGCACAGATAGCTTCCGATTTGTCATGAAACCTTGGACTCCACCTAAGCGAATGACCAAGCGTAGTCTATTGTCAGATATCAATAGTATTTATGATCCCATTGGTTTGATTACTCCAGTACTCATCAAAGGAAAGATCTTTTTACAACAATTATGGAGTCTGAAAATCGACTGGGATGAAGTGTTATCAGATGACATTTGTTCAAGGTGGACAACCTTCTATTCTAGCCTCCATCAACTTGTTGGTTTGTCAGTACCTAGAAAGGTGTTACTCGCTGATGTTGTCACTCTTCAAATACACAGCTTTTGCGACGCATCTCAATTGGCATTTGGTGCGTGTGTGTATCTAAGATCGGTCGCAGTGTTTATGTACACTTGTACACATCGAAGTTCAGGGTTGCACCAATGAAGGCCACGACCATACCGAGGCTCGAATTATGTGGCGCTGTGACATTAGCCGAACTTGTTCTTGAAGTTCAAACCGAATTACATCAGTTAAATGACAAGGTCCCACCTAACAATGTATTTTTATGGAGCGATTCTACAATCGTTCTGGAGTGGATTGCGAGCACTAGTTTATTCCAAGTGTATGTGCCAAATCGTATAGCGCGTATCCGAGATTTATCGACTACACATCAATGGCACCACATCCCAACAAACGATAATCCCGCGGATGTAATATCACGAGGTGTTAGCATGCGTAAAATCTCGGTCGCCATCCTTTGGTGGCATGGGCCACCATGGTTAAGTCAAGAGTCAACTGCATGGTCAGACTGCCCAGCGTTACCAACAGAGATGCGTGAAGTTAAACCTGTGAAATTTGTCTTGTCAGCATCCCAGGTAGCTTCACCTTGGTTGTTAGAATCATGTTCAGATTGGATGAAGTTACTGCGGATCTCAGCTCTCGTTATGCGGTTTATTTCAAATTGTCGGATAAAATCAGAACGTAAATAAAACCGGTGTGTTGGATTCATTCTGTCGCAAGAATTACAAGAAGCAAGGAATCACTGGTTGCGGCAAGCTCAAGCAGTAGCATTTCCTGAAGACTTTTCGTTGTTAAAAAACAAACAACAAGTTTCTCATCGCAGTTTCTTAAAACAGTTAAGTCCGTTCGTTGATGAGGCTGGACTTATTCGTGTTAGAGGTCGTTTGATGAATGCTTCCATATCGAACTCTATGAAGCATCTCATCATATTACCTTCCACCAACCAGGTTACTCGATTACTTTTCAAATATGAACATGTCAGATTGCTGCATGTGGGACCATTGGCATTGTTAGCACATATCAATAATCAGTATTGGGTGAGTCGCTGCATTCAATGTGTCAGAACCAGTCCTAGATTTGTATCCCCATTCATGGCACCCCATCCACGTGAGAGAGTGACCATTGCAAGACCTTTTGCACGAACTGGTGTAGATTATTGTGGCCCGGTTATGGTGCGAAGAGGTTTAAGGAAAGTTACGTGTGCGTGTTCATCTGTTTAGTAACCAGAGCAATACATCTCGAGTTAGTGTCTTATTGTCGGCAGACGACTTCATTAGCACTTTATCCACGTTTATGGCTCGCCGTGGGCAATGTCGAGAATTGTTCAGCGATAATGGGACCAACTTTGTTGGTGCAGATCGAATCCTGCAAACGCATATTCAGGAATGCCAAAAGAGTACCAAAGTACACAACTTCTTAAGCAGCCGAAGCATTGACTGGCTTTTCATACCACCGTCAGCACCTCACTTTGGAGGCATTTGGGAGGCTGCGGTTAAGTCAGCCAAAAAACATTTGATCCGTTATCCAAAGGCGTTATGATGACATATGATGAGACTACCACATTACTATGCCAAATAGAAGCAGTGTTGAATTCACGGCCATTAACACCACTGTCAAGCGATCCTTCTGACTTCAATGCTTTGACAGCCGGCCATTTCTTGATTGGTGGTCCACTACAGCTCCCACCTGAGCCAGATTGTACAGGCATTCCACAGAACCGTCTACGTCGTTTCAAACTCATGCAAGCACAAGCACAGATTTTTTGGAAACGATGGTCTTCCAAATATTTGCCCCAGTGTCAACGAAGTGGTAAGTGGACCAAACTCACTCGAAACATTGAAGTAGGAGACTTAGCAGTTTTAAAGAATGACAATAGCCCACCACTGCAATGGGACCTAGTTCGTGTTACCAAAGTTCATCCAGGCCCTGATGGAATTGTCCGAGCAGTCACGGTACGGAATTCTTTGGGGTCCGAGTTCAAGCGTCCAGCAACCAAATTGGCTGTTCTATCCACTGATAACGATGAAGTCGGAGAAGGGCAGAACGCGTTATAAAATTTTTTTTGTATTGTATTCCTTGTTCATTTGTAATTATTGTTAAGTATTTGTCAACAGTTGTTGTAATTTTTGAAATGTATTTCCCTTTCAAAAGGGGGGAATATGTTTGCACCGCAAACAGGCTTCAGTGTAGTGTTGTGTGTATGTTAGATGGTGCTTATCATTGACGACTGTTATTGTGTGTTCGTCTTGTTATCAGGTGTGTTGTGTTGTGTTGATCATGGGAGAAAACACGATAATTTGTGTTTCTTCAGTCAACTGGCACTGATCTTTCGTTGCTAAATTCATGTGTGTGTGTAATTTGTTCGTTCGAGAAAAAAAGCTTGAACCTTAAGCACTTTTGACATTGACACTCTTTTTTCAACCGCCGTCCAGGCACCTTTTGTCGGTCATCGTTCCTGTGTTGCCGCCGAACACAGACCGCGTTTTTGCACAGTGCAATTCAGTACACACATTGTCTGGTAACTGTAGGTATAAGTATAGGTACAACATTTCTAATTGTTTTTTCCCCATCTAGGGTGGTCAAAGCATCGACGGGTGATTTGTGGTTGTGTTTTCTAGAGGCGGTAACGTGGTCGCATCAACGTTCCCGTCACGGCGGCCCCGTTTGTCAATGTTATGTTTTTGTGAGTATTGGTCGACCCTGTATGTTAAAATTAGTATAATTGTCAGCAGGCTCATATTATTGTTGTTATTGTTGTAGCCGACGGTCTCTAGTCACTATTATTGTCATTAATTGCCAGCAGGCTCATACAGTGGCGTGGCGAACATAGGACCCAAACGGGCAATTGCCCTCGTCAAATTCTGAGGGGGGGAGGGGGGGTACCCTATACCCCTTACCCGGTACCACTATATTTGTGGACCAATTTATTCCTGTTTAGTGTTTACTGTAATAATATGTAGGTATAATGTTAGCATGTGGGACGCATCGGGCATACTAATAATAGATTGATAGAAATATCGAATAGTTATTGTTCGTTAATAATTATAGTTGATACTTGGAAATTCCCAATTTCGCTTGCCGCTGTACAGTGTTCCTATGCGCCCGCGCCCCGTAATCGCCCAGTGCGGTAATCGCGGTTTACGTCCTACAACCGTTAACTACTGTCTACTATAAATTATACTCTGCTCCATCTAAGAATATGACAGTCAGCCAATCACAGAACGCACAACTATCGCATATTGGTTGGGGGTTAAGGCGAGTCGGCGGGTCGTTCTGCGTGCGCCAAAGTAGTTTAAAATAGTGCACAAGTGTAATAATACCTAATATTGTTTTCTCTTTTATTGCGAATTTGAAATGAATTCAATAATATTATGTAATTGTGGTAAAAATCTTAGTGTATTAAATGAATATAATCAAAATCAACATATTAAATCATGTAAAAAAAGAAAAAATATTGAAGCTGTTGGAAAAAACAAAATAACAAAATTTTTTGTTGGAAATTCATTTAAATGTAAGTACTTTTCAATATTATTATCTAATATCTATTATCATTTGACTTAGTACCTATTCGAAAAAATATAAATTTAAATTGTTTGGAGACAATATTTAGAGAAATCAATAAATCAATATGTCATACCTAGAAAAAATATATTCTCTATGAGTTATGACTCTATAACTTCTATAATGGGTGATCGTGATTCTACTATTTGTGTTGAACATAATGTTACATATTGCCATATTGGTAACTAAAGTGTTGTTCTAATTGAAATGGAACAGCCCCTTGATTAATAAAATAATTCGCAAAATTGTCTCTAATTTCCATTCCATTTCGATTTATATGTCGGCCATGTCCTTGTAAATCATCAAGGTTATCGATAGATCTCGCTAGAGAGCGTTCTGTGCTTTACGGCGGCCCGGTGTCGTAGCACAGAGTGAACAGAGATATATATATACAGGAAAACGGACGATATTTTGATTTTTACATGCAACGAACTTATATGGAGAACGGTCGAATTTACTAGTTTTTCGCTTTCGCAATACCGCGTTGAGTTGTGACGATATGCGCATGCGTGAGTGCGTGACCTTGGTTGCATGGTGGCGCGGCAGTGTGGCATACGCGCAACGCGCTTCCTACTCCTATAGTCCTATTACTATTTCATTTGCTCGCTAGCCTCCGTGCTGCAGGTACACAACAGTATAGCAGTATAGCCATATTGTCCATCCGTTCGATTATTATTTATTACTATCTGTACGGCGTACATTATTACAATAACAGTGATAAACCATAAACGTACCGACGGTCGGCCGTATGTTAATCTTTAGGTCAAAAAAAAATTGCACAGAACGTTCCACATTTGCCTGCAAAAATTCACATGTCCATGGATGCACTTCGTTCTGTGCAATTTTTTTTGTAGCTAAAAATGTGGTAAAATTGCATGTCATCGAATTTTCTTCAATAGTCAATTAAGTTTTAGCACATAATTTTGAGGTTTGATTTCACTTCTTTATTTACCACAATTTTAACTGGAACTTTCTTTATACCTACTCTCTCTTGCACCTACTAAGCACATAATTTTGATATTGATTTCAATTCTTTATTTACCTCAAAATTCAAGTACTCCAATCCATTTAAGTAAAGCACAGAAGACTTGTTTTACTTCTCCGAAGTTTTTTTTGGAGATTTATATAAGCCGTATCTGCAATATCTTAATCATAATTGCTCCCATCTCTTTTTCTAACAAAGTTATGCAAAACACAACTTGCTTTTATGATGTGATTACAAAAATCGGGTTCGACTAGAATAGTTGTATGTAATACATTCGACTTATTAGCTAATACACCAAAAGCACACTCGACAATACGTCTTGCTCTCGATCGCTTCTAATTAAATATTCTACGAGTATTATTCAGCCCACTTCCTGGATATGGTCGTAATAAGTTGGTATGTAGTCCAAATGCCTCATCGGCCACAAATACAAATGGTTGTAAATTATTTTCCGTGAATGGTAACGATAGTGGATCAGGAATTTGTAGTTGGTTTGTATCACGGTTATCTACACAGGTTGGAGCTCGCGACCTTATTACACGTCGGAGTGGCGACTAGAGGTACTAACAGCGCTAGGTGTTACTGGCCCGACATTAACATGTCTTATATAGAATATTAGATGGTTTTTTGTGTCTATCATCTTAATAACATAATTTAGCAATAATGTGTAGGTATATAACTAAAATTGTTGGTAATATTGTTTTCTATCGGGTGATCAAATCATATTATTTTTATCACTAATATACAGCAATTTATTGTCGTTGTGAATTATGATATGATCGTGAGTCGTGACTCGTGAGCCTAATGATGTATTGTCTGATGTTTACATCACCAATAAATAGTTAACCGTGATTGTAATAGTTACTATTATTTACTATTATAATATATTTTGTATTATATAATATAACTAGCTGAACCCGTGCACTTCGTCGCCCGTTAAATGTATCAACTCAATATGACTCAAACTTTGTTCAATTCGTTATTCAATATTCGATGTATGGTGTTCAAAATTTATCTTATCTTTTCCGTTGCCCGGAATAAAAATTCTGAATCGCAGCAGTACATTATCAGGTAGGCAAACTACCTGCGGTAGATCGCGGACCCCGTGCTGTTTGTATGGAAGTGTATGATTTAACTCTAAAGTATCAAAGTTGTACCAAGTTTATTTTGATATAATACGGTGGATTAATATAACAAATTTGGTTTCTCGTAAGAAATCGCAACTCTTAAAAAAATTATGATTGTTGAACTCCTTTTGGGTGTAACTTGCTGTGGTAAATGCAACTCAGCCACCCTGGTAGGCAATGTTCAATAATTCGATTTGATGCAAGCTTGTACCTGATATGCCCGAATAACCAATGGCAACCAATAAATAAATGCTAATTTCTAATGTAGACTGTAACCAATGGCAACTATTAATAAATAAAAATAAAATTTCCAATTTCCATCGTGAATCTCAATGTCCCTGTTTGAGCACCTATTTAAAATACGACTTTTGGCAAATCCTTTCTTATTGCACGGTGAAAATATGAGAAGAATCTCTATTCCAAATTTCAAGTTCGTTCGTTGAGTAGTTTTTGAGATACAGTGATCAGTGAGTCAGTGGTATTTGGATTTTATATGTATAGATAACTAATTATTGACTAACATTATCGGACTTTATTTATGCCTAAAACCTGCTACGTAATATCCTCTTTCATTTAAAAAAACTGCATGACAATTGGATAAGAAGTTTTGAAGCCAAACCGTAACAAAGATTTCCTTTTTTGCTTGATTTCAGTTTTATATATATAGATGTATACTAAATTATATATTTTTTTTTTTTTGCTTTTCATACATACAATTTCCAAATATAACATTTAATAGTTTTATTTTTTAACTTTTCCATCACAAAACTGTACATAAGTAATATTGTTTATTCATCGGAATGTAATTAGGGAAAGGGGTCATTATGATTACTAATATAAATACTCAACACCAAAAAAAAAAACACATATCCACCTAATACATGTAATATTAAAAAATATACTCAACATCTCAGTTGACACTGCAGGTACCATCCATAGGCGCAAATATTGTTTGGGGTTTGAATGGGGGGGCTAAAGCCCTCTTTTGATAATATCAAATAATTTTAAAACAAAATGTAGGAGATGTTTGGGGGGGATTTGGACATTTTTGGGGGCTTAGCCACTAAAGCCCCTCCCCCTATTTTCGCCTATGTATCTATCACTAATAAAGTTTCAGCAATTGTGTAATTGAAAGTCACAGTACCAAGTTGAGTCATGCTATGAAAGTGAAGATTCGTGTAGCCTGAAAAATAAATTAAGTTAATTAAATAAATTCATAGTTATTGCTATTTTTTTGTTAAATAAGCATACAAATAAGCATATTTAGTTTTACTTTGCACTTAAACTAATTTTATATATTAATATTTATAAATATTATGAATTGCATAATTTAGCAATTTTTTTCTTCCTTCTTGCAACTTTGTGAAATTTGAGGTTTTCTTGGTATGTATGCTGGCGCATTCTCATTTGCAAGTAATAAACTATAACTTCAGAAGCAACTTCAACTTTAAGAAAAGAACAGCTGAATTCAAAATTTAAATTATTTTGAGTAATATCATTGATTACATTTTCAAATAAATCAAAATCATTACAATGTTTTGCAAAAGAGTGTTCAACAATGTTTAAAAATTCAAATAAAGCTGTATTTGGATATATCAACTTCAACTTTGTTTTTAAATGTATTAGTTCTGCACAGTGATGATCAGCATTACCTTCTTTAAAGTAACTTATGCACTCGTAATACTTTTGCTTTTTTAGAATTTGTTTAGTCACATACCCACAAATATAGTAGATTAAACAATCTCTGGTACTATTTTCCATTCTATTGTCAACTTGAGGAAGCACGTCACATGGTTCCCATAGGCCATCTTCAATTAATTGATCTAATTTTACTTTGAGATAATTTTTTTCAGTTCGCTGAAAAGATTTATTATGAAAAATTTCTTTTAAGTCAGATAAAGAAATTTTAGGAGCACCCATAGTTGTAACAGTACAGTTGCCATGTTAAGAAGGATTAGCACAGAATAAACAGAAAGAATTTTGTATAGATGGAGAAAAGTTGGAGTTGTTGGGTGATCGTTCGGCCCACATGATTGTCTTATAATAGGTACCAAAGAATTTCTGTAACAAAATAAGTTATACTATAAAGTGTTAAAAATATGTAATTTTTAACTTATATTATATAATTTTTTTATAAATAATAATTACTTCAAGTGGGTCTTTGCATATTTTACTAGTAAGTACATAATCATAACCACATGTTTCTTGTAAGTATTTTGACAGGTCAATTGTTGAAGTAATCGTCACTCGAAGTCCTTGAGCAGTTTGTTTGGTTAAAAACTCTTCTGGACCAATACTGCCATCAATCATTTGATCTTCCCAACAGTTGATATAGTGCAGTGCATTAACAAATCCCTAAAATGATCACATACCATTTTCATATATTTAACTTGTGAGAAACTCATAAGACCAATTATTATTTGTACTTTACAGATTTTTTAAAATGTCCACGCTTAACTAATGTTAGAATTTAATCAACTAAATTCTTTAAATTTATAAAAACAAATTGTACAAAAGTTGATTTAGTATCTAAACTAAAAAATTATATTTTAATGCTTGAACATTAATTAATAGTTGTATTACTTGAAACCCTTCATCGTTGATAGATTTAAGACCTTGCCATGGTAAATTTCGGTTAAAGTTGTCAAACAAATTGTTCCAAAATTCTACAAAATTAGCAGTTTCTCCAGCATTTTTGAGCATAAGACTTCCTTTTGATTCATAGAAACGTATTGCGTTTGCCATACTCATACTAAAAACCTTAAGATAATAATAATTTAAGTTTAAGAATAAAACATTATTTGACAATATTATAACTGTTAATAATTTAAAATGCAATATATTGATAAATTTAATTTGTTAGTACCTGGGTACATAAGCGGACTCTCATTTTTGCCATTGGAGTCAAGTCTAGGTGCCGTGGTGTTATCCTAGGTACCATTCTTAAATTTCATGGGTGTTTTATTTCTTCTTTATAAACTTCTTTAAAGTAGTCCCAGACAATTTGTTTTGAATTTGGATGAAGCTATTAGACAAAATTAAATAGTAATGATTTATTTCAACTTAGATGGAAAATAATAATTAATAACAAGAACCCTATCAAATATCCATCTAATATATCTTTCGAACCACTATAATCTTGGTCTCTAAAACATAGTTAATGTTTAAAGTAATACATAACAAATGAAAGTTACCCTTAAATATTTATTATTATGTAGGCGATTTCTGTCACATTTAAAATATAAGTGTACAAAATCAGATAACACATAGACTTTGCGGCTCGGGTCAATTGGGTGTTCGAAATAATTATTTATATTATCTTTTGTTCCATCAACTCCAAACTCTGTCCACATACGACGGTTTGTAGTAGCACCATCAACATATAATCCAATATTTTCCAGAAGCGTTATTGCTTTTAAAACAATAAAATATTATGCACCCCGCACCGATATCGTGATCCACTTGCCCGGTGTAGTGTTCTCGCTGCGCGGTGTGTACGCGGAGCAACCTCCGAATCCTCCCACCACTATTTCACTATATATGGTTTCCCGGGACGATACAATAGTTTTATAAAATATAATTTATTAATTAGTAGTCCACTGTACGCTGGCTAAAGTTGTTTGCCATTACCGTGTGCGTCATATATTATAATATTTTATGGGGTATTTCATTTTTTTTTAATAAACATTAAAAGTACACCATGGAGGGATACACCCGGAAATCCCTCCCGCGGTGAGTCTCACCGACGGGCAAGATCTAAGGGGAAACACTGCGGAGACGCGTAGACCTCCATTGGGTAATATGTATTATTTATATGTTTATTTGTATGCCTTGGCCGGCCCCTCTGTGTTTTATCCGTATTTTCACAATAAGTGAATACGGTATTATTATTCTTACTGTCAATTGTTATTATCTTTATATTTATACATTGGTAATGTGGTGTGTGTATATCACGGGGTGACGAAAGCTCCCGTCGAAATTATTATTATTTTTTGTTAATATTCTGTTGGAGTTTTACGCCAGTGAGCTTTCTTAACTAAAAACTTAAATAAATTTCCCCAGTTGATTAACTTAACTTTTGCTTTGTTTTATTGTTTTACCCGATTTTTTTTTTAAAAATCCTACGGCCTCCTTCACCAGTATGGTGTTTTACGGGTCATAGGTTGGCGACCTACAATATATTGCCGGGCGTCAGTAACCAAAGCGTTACAGAGTGGCGACCTTGCCAGGATGTCCATATAAAGCGCTCAATAAACCAAGATTGTTCTCAGCTAACCTTGCATCTTGTATAGTAAAACGTACCATATCTATTCCAGCAGGAAGCACGGGCAGATAATTACTCGCAATCATGCACGTGTGCGATCTCTCCTCTGTTTCAGCAGCATTTAATCTATCAATAGGGCGCCTCGATCGAATAACATCTCCAACAAGACGGAAAGCTTCAGGTGACTCAATAACTATTCTACTTAATTCAGGATAAAAATTTGCAAAGAAGTCGTCACGCCGTCCATGAAGTTCTCTGAACAACTGAACATCTTGTCGCGACAAATCAAATCCTCTGTATGCACTCTCGAAGACCGAACGAGCTAAAGGATGTATACTAGAGTTCTCAATAATTAATTTGAGTATATGCTTATGTTTTACAGTTGATGTTCTCTGATCATTCTCAACTCTTTCACTAATGGTTCCGAACATAGACATCACTTTCTGGATCTCTTGTTATATGACGCTTTCGACTATATACTGTTTTATAATACGCGGGGGGGGGGGGGGGGGGGTTCGAATTCATTGGGAAGCTGTTTGAAAAACTTAAAAAGTGAATCACTACTCACACTAATCAGTTCCGGATTATTGGCATTTGGTCCTAATTGCCCGATTGGATCGTTTACAGCTAGCATATTTAACGTGTCATCAGTCAGTCTAAACCCACACTCGGCATAAATTGATATATATCTATTCAACTTAAACGATTATCAACAACCGTGAAATGCAGCGACATCTATACGTGACGACTGACGACGTCGACAACAGTGTAGATTATTACGATTTTGTCGAAATTCACGAAATAAACGTAAATCGTTAAATATCAGAAATATATACCGTATACCACTATTGTTACTACGGTGTAGGTATTTTTAAAAATGTCGAAATTCGCTAGATAAACGTAAATCGCAAAATATCAGAAATATATATACTGCATACTACTATTGTTACTACGGTGTAGGTTTTTTCAAAATACCAAAATAAACGTTTTTTGTTAAATTTCAGAAATGACTACAGCGTAACGTAATTGTTATTAATCCATAGGGCTTCGTAAGAGTCAGCATTCAATCAGTCTGTATACAGACTTACACATGTACGATTTTCCTCCGCGTTTATCCAAGTCTTTATAATAGTTGTTCAGTGTTTATAATTTTCCCAAGTCTTTATTATTTTTCTAATAAACATTTATTAAAAACATGGCTGGTTCAATCGAAGACAACGCAGCGTTATACAAAAAGAAGCCCTTCACTTATGTGCCACCGTCACCACCTGCTGAGCTCATCGAAACAACTAGCTACACACTCGACTTTGCTTCCCGTAAGTTTGTGCACATCGGTATTGACCCGACTGAAAAATTCAAAATTGTGTTACACATTATAACATCATCGCGTTACGTGCATATTACTCCGGATTGTTTAAAAACAATATTTTCGTATATGGGGCGTATCTTTTCTACTGAACCGCAAACGTATAAGAGAATAATATTTTATGAAGACTTGAAGATAAAACTATCGAATATGATGTATAGCGGAGAAAACGTGTTAGTGATAGAATCAAAAACTCGAGACGGGTGCAGAGTACTGCTGAATCTGGCGGACCTTATGCGTCTTCAATATCTTGAATGTTGTATTTTCGAAAGTATTATCCGGAAAGAAGTATTCACCGCACCATTAATTATAAAACAGTATGAGGAGTTCGCGACTTACGTAGATTAGAAATGTGCCCGTCATAAATCGCCACCGAAAAATATCGATGAGATGAGAATATTCATTCAAAACATGCAAGACGAGCGAACGGTTGAACCTTCACCGAACTTCACTAGTCAAATATAAATGTGCGCAGCTGTACAACTAGCAGAATCTTTACTAAATCTGGAAGCATACAACTCACATGAGGTAATTGACGGGCCATGGATACCGGATCAAGTCAGGACACCATCACCATTTCAAACGACTTACGCTCAACACCCAACACCAATTCGCCGAGTACATCGTCAATTATTTTAATATTTATAGGAAATTAACTAATTTATGTGAAATAAAAAAAAACATGATTTATAAAAAGCATTTTCATTTATTAAAAATAATATTAAGGTTTACAATAAATATTTACAAGGTTCTCACTTCACCATTAAATGGATTATAAGTTATAATTTGGTCATGTAATATTAAGCAATATGCAGATGTTGAAGCTGGGAACGCTTCTTCTGCTTCTATTTCAATCCTGAGGTCGACGGTTGATGTTTTAACGTTATCGTTCTGTCTGCTCATGTCAACAACTATAATTGGAGACAGATTTTTGAAATCTGCTCGGTTCAATAGCGGTTTCACATCGTCATGGCCGTAGTAAGATTTTTGGAACTCGGCATACGCGCGATATAATGTCGCCATCTTGTTCTTGGTAAAGTCACTTTGAAAATCTTCATAGGGAAATACTTCAGCGTTTAAATAGACTTTTAGATTTTTAATTTTACAATGGTCGAAATATGACATTGATTTAATCGAGCTATTTTTCCTATTGGTTTGAAATCCGATTATTACATAGCGAGGTTTTTCTAATTTGTTGGATGTCTTCACTTTCCATGAATGCCAAGTGTTTTGAGGTAAAAATGGATACTCACACAGTTCCCACGATCTAAACGCACATGTCAGAGGTTTCTGATTGTTGATTACTTTCAACAGTCTAATTTTTTCTCTATCACTAACTCTCACTATAGGCATCCGCCACAATATTTTTGTTATGTTTATTTTAACGTCTTTTAGTTTAGGAGCGTCTGCGACAACTTCATTATCTTTATATTACTTGACAGCATTTATATCGAGCGATGCTCTATTCAATACAAGTTGCTGATTACAGTTTATTAAAATTCGCTTATAATCTTCACAAAAACCAAACAAATCTTTAAGATTAATACATCCGTTAAAATTGCCGCTCTCGATAAAATCTTTATTACCATTTTTAATATCACTATCCCAAGCAGCGTTATGGTGCGATGAAATATTTGTTTTATTATACGAGCAATATCCTTTTAATGTGGTCGATATACCCGGATTGACGAGTTTCTGAATTTGAGTACCGTTTATTTCGTATTTCATTTCAGAGAAAAGAAATGCCAGTCCGTTGTTTATGAATCTAATCTCGTCAGTTATTTCCGTAGGTTTGGTTATTGTCCCTTCGATGTAAATGTAACTCTCACATGGTAAAGTATAAGACTCTGTGTTATGCAGAGCAATACGCACCTCGTCGTTATTAGAAAGAGCAGATGTTGAATACTGTAAAAAAGAATGATAGTCAATTTGAGTTATTTTACAATCGTCGGTGTATCCAGCCGTTACATCTAAATACAGATCGTCCATATTAAATAGCGTTCAGCGAGCGTAGAAAAGCCAAATTATCTGCTGTTAGACTATGATCAACTTGTTTACGTCTCGAATATTTCTTCTTCTTCGGAGATGTTACCTTGCTAGTGTTTTTAATACGAGTGACAGGTTTTACATACGCAGTCCTATTTATATTACAAAATTGCAGACCCATTGTTTATCACAAGTCTTGAATTAATAATCGTATCGATACTGGCTCGCCTCGTAGATCGATCAACTCGTTGTCTTGATTTTTTTAAATTATACTCGCGTGCGTTATAGATTTAGAATTAATTGGGTAAAATACCAAATGTGTTGGAACCTCTATTATTTTATAACCTGGAGGTACATTCGGGTAAAACTCGTGTATTGTATGGCACTGCTTACCGTTAACGAATGAACCCATAACCAGATTTGAGTCGATATATATACAGTTTGTTTTAGTAATATTGACCAACGCATCTGATTCGTGATTGATATTAGCATCATACTTACGATTTTTAAACCCTAACAATTTTCCTATACCATTAGACATAGAAAAATCAACAGTTTCGCTACAAAACATTGTGCATTTTAATGTAGTATTATCTGCTCTCAACACGAATAAAGTATCTGAATTAGGTAATACACGTATTATTGCCGCTTCGATTTCCTTCAACTCATAAGATCCAGTGGGTATTGTATAGCTTTCGCTTGTACGCTTACCTGAGATATTATTTGTGATTCCTATTCTATTGCATTTCTCGTTTACATTAGGTATAGAATTATTTGTTTGAAAACCCAGCAGACAGATTTTCGCGTTTTTACTGACTTCTATAGGTGGAAAAAAGTCGCATGACAATTCACTCGAGTTGCCGGTTAACGTTATAGTGTACATGATAAAAATTGTAAGCACAAGTGACCACAGTTTGTTGTATTATATTTTTGATGTCTATCTTAATTATATTCGATACTGCACCCGTTGAAATATTTCTGTAATTCCAGAGGAGGGGCTAAGTTTCCATAGCTGTCAAAATATTTGACTTGTTTTCCGATTTTCTTATACGCTACCCAATGAGTTCCTGTACCGATTTCAGTATCTAAATTAATTACAGCTGACTCTTGATTTTTCGTTCGTTGAGGCAACTTGTCTCTACAAAATACACCGATGAAATGAGGTATTTTCAACTTGTTTGAGTATTTTATAACCTCATAATCGAACAACGCTCTATCGGATAACGTAACAATTAGTTTTTTGAAGATTTTCTAGATTTCTTGACTGAACCGCCCTTGTGTGGTTTTCTAGACTTCTTAACTGATCCGCCCTTGTATGGTGGTAGGTATAAGCCTTTACCTTTTACGATTTTATAAGAACTACACTTGTGAGGTGCTAGATATAAGCCTTTGCCTAAATGAATAGGAGAGTTTTTACCAGAATTTAATTCTTTCACGACTTTTACTATATTACCGACACCTCCGGTAAGTGCACCTAATGCAGATAAACCAGCAAAAATAGGTATTAATGGTAAGACACCCCCCCTTTTTGGTATTGGTATAGTTCTTGGAGTTTTAGTCTTCTTGTTTTTAGATTTTTTAGATTTTTTTGCAACTGACAGACATGTTTTTACTAATTTATTTATATTTTTTTCGAATTCTTAGCAGCCAAAACCATTTGTTTAAATCCGCAACCCGCTCCCATCTTACGTTTGACCTTCATGGCTGTAGTGACCAACCAAGACGCCGCTTTTTCCTTGATACCTGTGTTTTTTGATTTAAACACTTCCCAAGCCTGATTTTCTAATACTTCGTCCACTCTGTGTCTATCGGTTAGTGAATTACTTTCTTCGTATGCGATATCGTGGGCTCTGGCCAACTCGTCAAGACGGTTTATCCCGCGTTCTCCACGCGCTAGTCTTTCTTTTAATTTGGTTCCAGGACCGGCAAATCTATAACAAATATATTTATAAAATGTAGACAGGATTTAATAACAATAATATTATGTAACGACTTACCTATAGCCTGGTAAATGCAATTCCACGGGTAAATGATTTATAACAGAGTTAAGACCGGATCCTTTATTGTTGTTTCGCTTACGAACGC